CTCGGTGAAATACTTTCATACTAAACAACGCAATTTGATAGGGCCCTACTGTGACCCACAGGGGCAAGAAACTTCTTTTCCTGGAGAAGCCATTTTAAGCGTTATCCTTAGGGCGTGACACGGAAATATATAAATAACAACTGGTTAGTCAAAAACGTAAACTGACTGTACTAAGTCTGTGTCATATATAAAGTCAAATCAACACAATGATTCATCCATCGTATTCTTGATTTGTATTATGAGCTATTACACACATATTTATATAGACAATTAGTTGTTAATTAACATATATACAAAGAAGTTTTACCAGCTTTAAAACTTTTCGTTTATCTCCAGAATCACCCAGTACTGTAAGCTTCAAAACTTAAAGTCCTTGAATGTTGTCATTAATGTAAACACTGGTGTACAACGATGTTGTTAACTATTAGTTTAAAAACACTAAAGATACTGGTGTAATATGATGGGTGTAACTATTAGTTTAAAAACACTAAAATTACTAGTGTAATACAATGTATGTAAGTGTTAGTTTTAAAACACTAAAGATACTGGTGTAATACAATGTATGCAGATATTAATTTAAAAACACTAAAGATACATATTTGATATACCTGTTAGCTAGTTATAATATATCATTACCTGATGCTCAGGATTCCTTCAGTGCCTGTTTTGTTTTACATGTAATATATAATGTATCTCAAGGTTGAATAGACTCTGAATGTTACACGTTTTTTTTAGAGTGTCAACAATAGATATGCATACGTAAATAACTAATGTTTAGTACAGAGGTGTGACACACCGGTACGTACAGTAAGATGTATTATCTCCCTGGGTTTTGCGTTGATAACAACATAGCATGTTATTTACATATTTTCCCGTTGTGTGTACATTAAATTTTCCACGATAAAGGGTCATGCTACCAGCAATGTCGAAATTATCCGACCTGATGCGGAGTATTTCCATAAGACTCGTCCGTGTTCCTTATTTGTGCAACAATATGGTTGGTTGTTAGGTGTTTTTTTTTTTTTTGGCACAAAGCAATAGCAACAATATGTATTTACAAGTTCGATAAATCATATTTTAACAGCCAGAGTATTTCCATAAGACTCGTGCAACAATATCTATTTACAGATTCGCTAAATTATGTTATAACAGCCCTTCTGTGTAAAAACACTATTTATCAATAATGTTAATCGTAAGTACGAAACAATTGACCTTCATAAAATTATGGTTGTTAAAAAATGACAGAACTAACTTTTAGGGAAAGGATAAACTAGTGTGTCTTCTCTCTAAAGGAATTTATTATGTCTGCTATGAACGTGTGCAAAATTTTCAATATTTGTAATTTTTAATGTCATAAATTCAGTCAGTGTGACTTTGACATAAGGTGTGTGAAGAAAAATTCTTTTCACACGCTAACGAAGCATGATTTTAATCAATTATACTTGTCATAAGATATTAGTATTAGGTATATTGTATAAGTAGAAAAATGCGAAGGTGATAAAATAAAAAAAATAGTCTTTTAGGAGAAAAATCACCTTTAAAAACTATGGTAGTAATTTATTTACTTGGAGACGTTTCGAGCAAACCCTCTTTTTCAAGCTAGAAACAAGCCTGATTTAATAGGTCTAACGTAATGTATTATGACACGTAAACTTATTATAAGGTGTGTGAAGTATATACTCTAAGTGTGATGTCTCCGCTAGTTACCCTATAGGTCTAACGTAATGTATTATGACACGTAAACTTATTATAAGGTGTGTGAAGTATATACTCTAAGTGTGATGTCTCCACTAGTTACCCTAGTGGATTATAATTGATGTTCGTGTTTTAGTATAAAGGTACACAATGGATTACCTCCACTCTGCCCACGGATTTTCCTGTTATAAGTCCGTAAACTTATCGTTGATCCAGTTTGGGATCATTGTGGATAATAAAATGTTAATGTTTATGACGTTTTCCTTCTGAACCCAAGTAGAAAAAGACAACCAGTGTATGAAAACTAGTTTAGAAAAAAAAAACAAGTGTTGACGATACCGAAAAAACAAAAACAAAAAAAAACAAGTATTGACGATACCGAAAACAACAAAAAAAAGTATTGAGGATATCGAAAACAACAACAACAACAATTGACGATACTGAGAAAAAAAACAAACAAGTATTGTTGATACCAAAAAAAGACAAGTATTGACGATACCGAAAAAACAAAACAACAACAACACTTAACAACTAGTAAATAATTGTCAATGTTGTATTAACTGAAACAAGACAAATTTCACTATAAGGCATGTATAAATAGTAAGTGTGAGTAATGTTTATCAAAAAACAATAAACAAACACACAACAGACTGACAGTACAGTTCACTGTTCTGACCTTAACTGTAAACATGAGTAATGATTCAAAAACATACAAACAGATGGCGCAAAACACTTTTAACAATAATATCTTTCAATATTATCAGAGTGAGTGATAATTTAAAAAAAATTATAAACAGCCAGCTAGGAATAGTTTATCATTAACACGTTAAAATGCTACCAGAGTGAATAATGATAAAAAAAAAAACACGAACGGCGAGGAATAGTTTATCATTAACACATTAAAATGCTATCAGAGTGAATAATGATCAAAACACACGAACAGCAAGGAATAGTTTATTGTTAAAACTTTAAAATGGTATCAGAGTGAATAATGATAAAAAACATACGAACAGCGAGGAACAGTTTACCATTAACACGTTAAAATGCTATCAGAATGACTAATGATCAAAAACACACGAACAGCAAGGAATAGTTTATTGTTAAAACGTTCAAATTCTATCAGAGTGAATAATGATCAAAAACACACGAACAGCGAGGAATAGTTTACCATTGACACATTGAAATGCTATCAGAGTAAATAATGATCAAAAACACACGAACGGCGAGGAACAGTTTTCCGTTAACACGTTAAAATGCTATCAGAGTGACTAATGATCAAAAACACACGAACGGCGAGGAATAGTTTACCATTAACACGTTAAAATGCTATCAGAGTGAATAATGATAAAAACCACACGAACGGCGAGAAATAGTTTACTGTTAATATGTTCAAATTCTATCAGAGTGAATAATGATCAAAAACACACGAACAGCGAGGAATAGTTTACCATTAACACATTGAAATGCTATCAGAGTAAATAATGATCAAAAACACACGAACGGCGAGGAACAGTTTACCATTAACACGTTAAAATGCTATCAGTGGAATAATGACTAAAGATCACACGAAAAGCGAGGAACAATTAACCATTAACACGTTAAAATGCTATCGGAGTGAATAATGATCTAAAACACGGAAATTCAAACTCGAAACCTCACTCAAGCATACAGAGCAGTGGAGAAACAAGTGTAATGAGAAATGTGCTTGTTATAGCATAATAGTACAAATAGTACTAGTACAAGCAGTTCTGGTTGCATGGACCCCCCCCCCTCCCCTCAAACACATACACACTTTCTGTGGCACGAAGTATTTCATATTTAAAATGATAATGTTTTAGTACATTGCAGAAATATATTTTAGATAGTATATGCTTCATAATAAAATATTTTCATGACATTCAAGCAATATGTTAATTGCATGCGACTTATTTGGCCAATGGGCTCCACTAGACCCCACTTGTATCTACCTTGCTTTGGAAATCGACCTTTTAAAATTGTGCCTCGTGGTAGTGACAATGCAAGGAGTATGATAAAAACAGTACTTCAAGGAAAATATTATTAATACGAGTGGTTATAAGATAAGTAGTTACAATACAAGTACTTATAAAACAAGCAGTTATAAGACAAGTAGTAATAATACAAGCAATTATAATAAAATTAGTTATAAAACAAGTAGTTATAATAAAAGTAGTTATAATAAAATTAGTTATAAAACAAGTAGTTATAATAGTTATAATAAAATTAGTTATAAAACAAGTAGTTATAATAAAAGTAGTTATAAAATAAGCAGTTATAATACAACTAATTATAAAATAAGCAGTTATAATACAACTAATTATAAAATAAGCAGTTATAATACAACTAGTTATAATACAAGTAGTAAATTACAGCTATTATGATGATGTGATGACTGTTAAGTGAATGAACATTTCATCTACGTTTTAACGAGCTGAAGTTGTAAATACGTGAAAGATTTCATTTTGAAACGAACTTTTAACAAGGAAGTGATGTATGAATATGATTTCACTGTACCTAGAACATATTGCACGTTCACCAGAATGCCCAGAAGATTGCGTCATTTTCAATGTATTGAAACATCGTTACCACGTGGCATAGTAATACGTGAGAGTTGGATGAATCTTGAATCAGGCAGAGGGAAAGTTTTATTGTATTAATCCACAGAAAATGTGCAGGTTTAGTGTGTTTGCAGGGTAAGAGTGTTGGACAGTTCTAGTAGGTTACAAATGAGTTTCGTATTACACAATAATGTTTTTATTCGTTGGAAATGTTTCAGAAAACCGCGTATTTAAAGAAAGAATATATATCATACAAGAAATGTGTTTATACAAGTCTCAGCTGCTGATCAAGCATGATCTGTATATTTAACTAGTTATCCTCAGCTAAATAACAGGTGTGAGGGTCTAAATGAGTTTTTGTTATCAACCAATAAGCGCATTGTTTAATTATGTCACCTGTCTCCCTTAAGTAGCAAAAACGAAACGGTAATCCGCCGGTGCGTCCAGCTTTAAGATTGTGGACTTACAATGCTACAATACAAGTTTTGATTTCCCGAGGTGGGCAGAGCGCAGATAACCCTTTGTGTGTATATTTGCGCTAAAAGGCAAATAATACTAACAATAAAACATGCTGAAGACTCTATTATTAATCTCGATAAATATTATGGAGTCTGGAAGAGCTTTGAGCAACCGTTGAAACCCTGTTAACAACCGAACTCATATGAAAGAACGAAGTTGGGAAATACTATATATCCAATAATTCCCCGATACTCTCTCTGTTTTACTTACTTGAATATTAACATGTGGCCTTAGCTGGCAGACATGGAGTGCTGGGCTCTGGCACTGAACGCGAGAAACCACGGACAACAGCGGTAAGTAGCCAGCACGTGTGCTGTTTCAGCTCAGGGGAGGTTTTTAACTTTTGGTTAGCTGTAATACAGCTTCTCCTGATCACGAACGTGCAAGCACCGACATCTGTCTCTGGCATACTTCTTGTCAAATGCGGATCTCCCCGGGAAGTTCTCCGTCACCCGGCGATTCCCGAAACACCATTGAACAATGCCAGGTAAACGTGTAGTTAGAGTCAGCAAAGTAGGAGAGACACTACTAACAGTAGTAGTAACGCGCCAAGTAAAATAGTCCAAACGCTCTTGTGTCTCTAGGTGTATCGAAACAGGATGCACGAAACGATTCTGCCTGCGACAGCAGAGATACTGGAAAGCAATCGAGAATTCGTTCTGTTGTACCCACTGAAGCTCGAGCTTTTTACTGCTGTCACGTGGGCGCAGTAGTTATCAAATCATAGAGTTTGTTTCACAATTTCGCGCAAAGCTACAGAAGGCTGTCGGCTCTAGTCTTCCCTAATTTCGAGCTGACAGACAGAGAGAAGGCAACTACTCAACGGCACCCATCACTAACTCATGGGTTTACTCTTGCTGGATTGAACAGTTGGATTTGATCACCGCTGTTATATTGTACTCATGCCCCCAATCTGTGAAGCGCGTTTTTGCAGCAATGGGCTGCAAACCATGAACCCTTGGATGTATAGTTTGAGTACGTATCTAGGGTACGCTCGGCCCAAATTTTTGTATGTTTGTTTAAGCACAAAGATGCACAATTAGCCATCTATACTTTGCCAGCTGCAGGGATCGAATACAAAGTTTTAGAGTCACAAGTTTTGAAACTTACTGCTGGGAAAACAGATCAAAGGGATATTTTCACGTGTAGATACGAAACACAAAATTACTGAACGTATTCTTGTATGTGAGGTTTCTACACTTTTCCCTGACAAAAATGTTAACTTTTTTCTTCTATTTTCAACTTATAAAAACGTACTTGTTCGTTGGTTAGGATAACTGAGGCAAAATCTTATAAATAGGAGTTATTATGTTTTCTTCGTTTTTTTGCAAAGCGTATCTCTCAGTTTCCGTCCACCCTAACAGAAATGTATCCTTTAGAATTAAATTAACTCATGGTACTTCAATTCTGCCGTTTTTCTTTGTGGAAAATGTAAGTTTATTTAACACACAGAAAATGCTAGAACAATCACAAATTCGTGTGTTTAAATTTTATCAACTTCCTAGCAGCAGGTAACGTTATGAACACTGTTTCCATGACTACCGCATCCGATTAGATACGGAAGTAATACTCATCTAATCATTGAAATTTTTATCTCTTCTTATTCACACTAATACTCACATAACTGGTGATTTTGGTATATAATCGTAATGGTAAGTAACGGATATTTTTAATGAATGTCCTTTTTGTTGATAAGCACCAAGCTAAACAATAAGCTGTCTGTCCTGTGCCCACCAAGGGTATCAAAACCTGGATGTAGCGTCATAAGCCCTCAGAGTTTGCGCAGTATCAGTAGGGAGGGTTGCTAATGTGTGTAATAGAAACACGTTTTCATTAAATTCGCTGTATAATTTATTTGAAATGGCCAATAGTTTTGCCACTGCTATTGTTTAAACTTAAAAGAAAAAACACGAATATCAAAATTATTTCTACCATAAATGTTTTTTTTCTGGAAATTATGCTAATACATTAAAAATAACTACGTGGAACCTGGAATATGACTGCCTTAAGTCTGCCTCCCCCCCCCCCCCAGTGGCACAGCGGACTTACAACGCTAGAATACGGGTTTCGAAACCCGTGGTGGCCAGTGCATAGATAGCCCATTGTGTAGGTTTGTGGTTAATTACAAACAAACTGGCCCGGCATGGCCAGGTGGTTAAGGAGCTCGACTCGCAGTCTGCGGGTC